CACCTTGTGTGCTTTTTCACAAATAAACTGGGGTCCATCTTTCTCCAAGGAAGGTGTCCACCTTTCTTTGGCATCTCCCAGGAGTTTAAAACAGACTCTGCTACAATAGTGTTTCTGATAGTTCACACTCCATTTTCCAACAGCCCTGAGGCCTGCTCAGTGCCAGATGTTCTGGGTTATATGAAAATGCCCATCACATCCACCTTGTGTGCTTTTTCACAAATAAACTGGGGTCCATCTTTCTCCAAGGAAGGTGTCCACCTTTCTTTGGCATCTCCCAGGAGTTTAAAACAGACTCTGCTACAATAGTGTTTCTGATAGTTCACACTCCATTTTCCAACAGCCCTGAGGCCTGCTCAGTGCCAGATGTTCTGGGTTATATGAAAATGCCCATCACATCCATCGCTCATGGTAGTTGGCCTTATCTGACTAATGCACTGAAGTCAAGGAGGCTGCTGATGGGAATAAAGGCGACTTAACTGAGTGCGGATCATGTATATAATGCTGGTTTGTGCCGAGTTGCCTATGGGAATGAGGGAGTGACGTGGGATTTAAGAAGGACGTGCCCACTTAGATAAAACACACTGGGTGATCCTAACCTGATGGATATTGGCATGACTCCAGTTCAGGTGGTGTCGGTTTCCACCACCTGAGGCCCCCTGGTGTTTGGGGATTAGGACTATAGAACGTCTCCCTAGAAGAGTGGTGTCCCGTCTGCGTGGGCACTGTTGGACTCAGGTGTTCGTCTTTCCTTGTGTTCGGCTGGTCAGTGCGTTTCCAGCGTGGGCTCTTTTCTTCTCTCTATGGCCAGAGTCCCGTTGCCATCTGGACAAAGGGTTGTCTGAGGTCAGTGCCCAGAAAGGGGAGCCTGCTCTGCCTCCTTCTAGCCTCGCTGACGATCGGGCGGAGGGGATCTGGCTTCGAGATGAACGGAAGGTGCGTGTGCGAGAGCTCGCTGTTGCCTTGGCACTCCAAGGACTTATAGCACTTGCTGGCTACAGCTTGCATGGGACGTGATGGCAAAGCGGTTCCTCGCTCTGCGCCACTTTCCTGTGGCTACAGGTCGGGGTCCCATGTGGTGTTGCCCAGTTTCCACTATAAGGGAAGCAGACTCATAGACTTTAAGGTCAGAAGGGACCATTATGATCATCTAGTCTGACCCCCTGCACAGTGCAGGCCACAGAATCTCACCCACCCCTCCTAGAATAATCCTCTCACCTATATCTCCGATATTGAAGCCTTCAAATACTTTGAAGGCCCCAAGATGCAGAGAACCCTCCAGCTGTGATCTGTGCCCCATGCTACAGAGGAAGGCGAAAAACTTCCAGGGCCTCTGCCAATCTACCCTGGAGGAAAATTCCTTCCCGACCCCAAATATGGCGATCAGCTAAACCCTGAGCATGTGGGCAAGACTCACCAGCCAGACACCCAGAAAGTTCTCTATAGTAACTCCTATCATCCCTCCATTGACCTATTTCCCACTGATAATCAATGGCCAATTAGTTACCAAGATCATGTTATCTCATCAAACCATCCCCTTATCATAGAATCATAGAAGTGGAAGAGACCCCAGAAGGTCGTCAAGTTTACCCCCCCGCTCTAGGCAGAACCAATCCCATCGGGAGGACACGCCTCCCGGGCCACTTAGTCTGATCTTTAGGTGCTTTCACCCAAGCCTGTTCTGGGCTCAAAGGGAATTGGGCAGGTTTCCTCTCCACGGGGTCATTTGCATTTTCACAGCTCCACCAGGAGGGTTCCCATAGCATTTTCCTCGATATGGGCAGGGCAGGGGAGGGAAGAGCCACCTCCTTTTGTCTCCACTGCTTAGTATCTAGAGGGCATGGATGTGCTAGATGCGTTCAGGGACACAAAAGAAAGCCAAGGTGCCCGCTTGAGGACATGCTCCTAGGAGGTCTGGACCATCCAAGTGCCTGCCCAATGACATCAATGCTCAGCAACCGCTTCAGATCAGACACATTTGGATGTAATGTCTCAGTACGATGTAGGAGAGAGGTTTGGGTCAGGAGGTCACTCAGGTTGCAGTAGTCCAGAAGAGAAATGATCCAGGTATGGAGCAAGGTTTTAAGAGTAGAATCATAGTAGTGGGGAGAGACCTCAGGAAGTCATCAAGTCCTACTCCCTGCCCAAAGCAAGACCAACCCCCACCAAATCATCCCAGCCAGGGCTTTGTCAAGTCAGAACTTAAAAACCTCTAGAGATGGAGATTCCACCCCCTCCCTAGGGAACCCATCCCAGCGCTTCACCAGCCTCCTTGGGAAATCATTTTTCCTACTATCCAACCTAGAACTCCCCCACTGCAACTTGAGACCTTTGCTCCTCATTCTGTCATCTACCCCCATTGAGAACAGCCTCTCTCCATCCTCGTTGGAACCCCCTTCAGGAAGTTGAAGGCTGCTCTCAAATCCCCCCTCATTCTTCTCTTCTGCAGACTAAATACGCCCAAATCCCTCAGTCTCTCCTCATAGGTCATGTGCTCCAGCCCCCTAATCATTTTGGTTGCCCTTCGCTGGACCCTCTCCAATGCGCCCACATCCTTTTTGTAGTGGGGGGGCCCAGAACTGGACACAATACTCCAGATGTGGCCTCACCAGTGTCAACTCACAGGTGCAGGGCCCAACAGGGTTGTGGATTTGCTTCAAGACAGAGTCGATTAGGGTTAGTTGCTTTTATTAATCCCACTATGTCACTACTATTACAGGCTTAATACTACACAGCTACTGCAAAGTAATACGCCAATAAGCATAGGCAGAGCAATGCATAAAAGAGGAACAGGCACTTGGAAATGGTTACGCCCCTTCAGTCTGCGGGGACTCCTGTTCCAGTCACCTCGTACCTGGTCACAGATGACGTGGCTCCACCAGGGGGATCCAAGGCACCCTTTGAGGTCTAGGTCCCTGGTGAGACTCCCAGAGAGGCGGGACTGCCAGTGATCTTATACTTTAGCTGTTTACCAAGTGTGCGCGAATTGGCCCAATGCCATTCTCAACATTCCCCCGGGGCTGAGAGTCGAGGTCATGTTATTTATCCCATACGAGGTTCTCAGCTAGCAAGCAAGGGGAGTTTTGGCTGGTGAAGGCTGTCTGGTAAAGAACACCTGGTGTTTGCGCTAGCAGTCCTCAAGGCTGGCCTAGATGAAATTTAACCCCTGCAGGCCCACCTATGGCTTACACTATAAAGGGGAATGATCACATCCCTAGATCTACTGGCAACATTCCTCCTAATGCACCCTAATGAGCCATTTGCCTTCTTGGCTACAAGGGCGCCCTGTTGACTCATATCCAGCCTCTCATCCACTGCAATCTCCGGGTCCTTTTCTGCAGAGGAAAGGAGACAGCTTAGCTATATTAGGGCTTGATCCAAAACTGCATGCAGGTCTATCCAATGGATACAAGCTGGTTTCCAAGCGTGCTGTATTTGTGGGCACATCCCTCTTAAGTACCATAAAAAAGGATAATCTTAGATACATTAACTTTAATGGACTTTGTATCAAGCCCTTGGTGGTCCATATGTTTAATGGATTTTGGATGAGGCATGTGTTGGTCCATCAGTGTTGTTGTGAAGTGTCACCAGTTAATTAATCAAATTAAAACACGGTAATTAAGCAATAATGAAAAATGAAAATCTAAATATGTTTGATGAAACTAGGGGGTGTTGACGATAATTTTGCTTCAGTTGAATATTCTTTTTCCAAACAACTCTAGCGTGTTATCCTCTTGCTTTGACTGTCTTAATTTTGAATAGCCATATTAATAAACCACAAAGCCCCTTTGGACACTTTTCCTGCCCAAGTGTTTGAGCGTGCCTGCAAAAAAATTATGTCTCTTTGCCCTTTTTCGGCAGCCAACAGGCCCTGAGGAAGTGTCTTCAGAAAAAGAAGATCTGGTCCACAAATGGAGCACAGGGAAAGATAGTCTTGCTGGAAAATGCAAGTTTGAAGCTGAAGGAGAGAAAACGGAAGCCTCGATTTTTGTGGAAGGCAAGTCTGTTCAACTCGCTTCACTGCCTAGTAGTGCTGAGCTGGTAGCAAAGCAGTATGCATGCTCCTGTTCCTGATGCAGGAGCCTGCACATGCTTGAATGTCAAGCGGTGTTTCCAAAAGGAGTGGTTTGGTTCGAAGGCTGGCCTGGCAGTGACAGAACTGCAGTGGAATGGGAGAGAGATGGGTTGCATCTTGGCTCTAGCACCCATTTTTGGGAAGGAGAGCGGGCTTTTCCTAACTCACTGCCAATGCAGCCGCAAACGCGCACACCCAGGGTTTATTGCATGTCATATCCCAGGTTTGAGTTTGGGTGGACACAAAGAGAGAAAATGTAAAGAAAAATGGGGAAATAGAAGGAAAACCAGCCGGTGGGCAGTGGTGGATGTAGCCATTGTAATGCAAATTTAATACCCACGAGACCTGAAGAGACAGAATGGAAAGCAATGTCGCTCTTAAACCAGCCAAGACGTCTCTGTAAATTACACCCCCTCCCTCCGGTGCGCTGCACTGTTAGCCGGAAGGGCTGGACCAGCTGGGGCACGTAATCAGAAACTGTCTCTGAGTTCGCATGTGCGCTTACTGCTGTTGGATGAGACTCACCCCAGGGCAGGAGCAAGAACAAAGTCCCGGCATTGGGCCAGGCGCTAACTTTCTGCAGCGGGTGCATTGCCCACATCCCCAGCATACAGAAATACGATTACAAATTACGATCCAGAGCCTGGGAGAACTGGGGTCCCACCTGCTACGTGTTCGGTCCCAGGGACTCTCGTTGGGATCAGGCCCAAGAGCAGCAGGTTGGACAAGGTTGAAAACCTCCAGCAGCAGCTAACCCAGCGTGAGTTTCCTCCTTTGACTTCTGTTTGTTAATGAATGTAGATTCTCCCACCGTTGACAAGGCTCTTCTGGGAAAGTTGATGAAGGAGCCCTTGGTAGTCAAGGCAGGGCAGAACGCCACCGTCAAAATCCCATTCGAGGGCCGGAAGCCGGTCAGCGCCGGATGGTTAAAAGACGGGGCCGAGCTCCTGGCCGATGCCAGGGTCCATATTGACAAGGGGGACAACTTCACCCGCCTGTTCATCTCCAGCACCAGGAGGACGGACTGCGGGGACTACAGCGTGAAGCTGAAGAACGAGAGCGGGGCCCTGGAGGCCAGCGTGAGGCTGGAGGTGATAGGTGAGAGCCTCAGGAGTCCTCCACCTCGGGCTCCGAGGGAAGTCCTTGTAGGTTGGTTTTGGGATCTCTCCCGCTGAGCCTCCAGAGACAGGCTTGCCTAGTGCCATGGCGCACGCAGAAGCAGCCCCTCTTCGGGGCCGTTACAGAGCACCGCTAGGAAGGATCTCTGAGAGCCGGCCGGGTTCATTCCTCCCCACCTCACCCACGTAAACTGAAAGGAGACGAGGTGCCGAGCGACTCCCAAAAGTGACCAGTGCCTGCGGCTCCCACTGACTTTAATGAGACGTGGGCCGCTTGGCACCTTCGGGAGCTGCTCAGTGATCTCCAGGATTGAATGGCAAAACGTGCAATGGGGTGTAGATCTCCCAGGCCTGTCCTTGCTCCTTTATTGGCTCCCTCCCGACTTGTCTCCCCATCGACCTACATGGGTCCGACACCCAAAAGCCACGCACAGGAGGTTTGCGTTGGCATCTCAGCAGCTGGGAAAGAAGGGCAGGAGGGAAGTTGCCACATCACTTGACGTAACTTTGTCATGCCTAGTAATTAGCAGAAGATTAAAGACTTCCAGGTGGATTAGCCAAATTAAGATCATCTCCCTCACTTTCTAAATGATACAGTTTACTTCTGCATCCCCCTTTTTGCACTGAAACTCAGCCCCTTAGAGCTACAGGAACTTAAGTGTAAAGGTCAAATAAAGATCAGTCATTTCTCCAGGAAGAAAAATGCCAACTAAAAATGCCAACTAGCTCAAATGCACCTACCAAAATCCAAGTAATTACACCGAGGTGATAAATCACTACGATAAATAATCAATTCTCTTAGGGTAAATCTAAACTACATGGCTCCGTCGACGGAGCCATGTAGATTTGTTTTTTTGGCAAAGGGAAATGAAGCCGCGATTTAAATAATCGCGGCTTCATTTAAATTTACATGGCTGCCGCACTGAGCCGACAAACAGCTGATCAGCTGTTTGTCGGCTCAGCGCGCTAGTCTGGACACTCCCCTGTCGAAATGAAAGCTTTTTATCGACCTCCCCGGTAAACCTCATCCTACGAGGCATAGCGGGGATGTCGATAAAGGGCTTTCAGGTCGGTGCGGGAGCGTCCAGACTAGCGCGCTGAGCCGACAAACAGCTGATCAGCTGTTTGTCGGCTCAGCGCGGCAGCCATGTAAATTTAAATGAAGCCGCGATTATTTAAATTGTGGCACAGCTCTGTAGGGCAGGCACTCGTAGAAAGTGGAACGGCTTCCCAAACGCAGATGGACAAACTCAAAATTCAGCATCGGCTTGGTTTAGATTTGGCTCCCGTTTAATCCATGCCACCTGCATTTGTGGGGGTGACTCCCTGCTTCTGGGTTTCATCCGTTTGTATGTGATACAAAACTGGGACTTGACGAGGATGTGTCTGGCTTTGGTTTGTCGGGGTTTCGGTTGGGTTTGGGCTTTTTGGCAAACCAGAAATGGGCTCCTCTCACCTGAACACCCCCGGTTTGGGGTAAGCTTGATAAATGGCTCTAGTCTGGAGCCATCTCTGGCCCTAAAGGAAATGGAAAGGTTCTTAAGAACACTTCCTAGTATACATGTGTCTAGGTCTTGGTCAAGTCAAAGGGAGTTACTTTGATGAAGTATCCCTGGCAATGATCAACTCTGGGAAGAGCAGACTGGATGATCCAAGCCCTGCTCTCCTAGTAGATGGCTGGATGTTTAATCAAGCAATCTTACTAGTGTTAATTCGGCTGCCGTCTCTGCCAGCTGACCCCGAGTTGCCTAGCTTGAGTAGCAAGAGGTCATGCTCAAGAACAGATGTAGGACTTTTTGCTCCCTGTTTTTCCTTCTCCTTTCAGACAAGCCACAGAAACCCAGGGGCCCCATAGAGGTGGTGGACAGTTCCACAACAGGCATAACCATCCGATGGAAGCCCCCCAAGGACGATGGGGGCAAACCAGTGCAGAACTACATTATAGAGAGGCAGCAGGTGGGCAGAAAAACCTGGGTGACGTTGGGCGAAACCAGCAGGAACAGCAGCACTTTCACTACCAACAAGGTGGAGCGAGACAAAAGCTATTGCTTCAGGGTGCGTGCAGTGAACGCAGAGGGAACCAGCGAGGCGCTGGAGTCAGATGAGGTGGCGGCTTCAGCCAAAGGTAAGAGGAAGAACCTTGTGAAAACACATCTTCCAGTCAGGTGAGGCTATGTCTAGACTGCATCCCTCTGTCGACAGAGGGATGCAAATCAAGCACATTGAAACTGCTAATGAAGCAGGGATTTAAATATCCTGCACCTCATTAGCATAAACATGGCCACCACTTTTTTTCGAAACAGAGTTTTTTTCGGAACAAAAAAGCAGTCTAGATGCAGATCTGTCGAAAATAAAGCCTTTTTTGACAGATCCTGTATTCCTCAAAAAATGAGATTTACAGGATCTGTCGAAAAAGGCTTTATTTTCGACAGAGCCACGTCTAGACTGCCTTTTTTCCTAAAAAACTCCGTTTTGAAAAAAAAAAAGCGGCAGCCATGTTTATGCTAAAGAGGCGCAGGATAGTTAAATCCCTGCTTCGTTAGCAATTTCAATGTGCCTAATCTGCATCTCTCTGTCAACAGAGAGGTGTAGTTCAGACACACCCTGAGACTCCCATTCTGAAAGCCGAAGCCGAATGAAACTAGCATATTTGGGGTTTTGCTCCAAATCTGAACTTTCTCCCAGTTTGAATGGAAGGTTTGGAAGCCTGACTCTTGTCAACTGAACGCGAACGTGGTTGTCATGGGGTGTGGCTGGGGATTGTTCCCTTGTGTGCTGATCATGCCACTGATACCTGCCATTTTTTGTTGTCTGGAGTTCCACACCAGCCTGTCCTATTGGGCCAGATCCTCTGCCATAACCAGATAAGGCACAGAGTTGGGGTAATCATCCCCCAAAGAGCAATGCAGGCACTGAACCACTTTAGCTCTGGGAGAATGCAGTTCTAGGGCACAGCACCCACAAAACCAGCTCCCGAAAAGGATTATCTCCCCTCCATAAATCTGTCTTTGTGTCAAAGTTTAATGCGGGGAAAGCTCATGTGTACAGTCACCCTCTTTATCAGTGAAAGAGAAATATGCACACTGGTTGGTCCCCCAAGTAAGAGTTATTTGTTTACTACCAAGCCTGTTTACTACTGGGCTTGGTAGTAACCAAAAATGTTTTATTAAGTACCAACAGTTGGATTTAAGTGATTGCAAGTGAAAACAGACAGATCAAAGTAAGTTATTACATTAAAATGAAAAGAAAATGCATCGCTAGTCATTCACTGAAAAACGTATTACAAGCACATTCTTACCCTAAAGATCTGTTCTTATTTCAGGCATAATTGTCAGGTCAGAGACTCTTTTACCTTCACCTGGATCTCCAGTCCTTTGTATCCTTTTGGGTTTTCTAGGCCAGATTAAGACAAAGGGCTGATAGCTTCTCCTGGCTTAAATAGTCTTTCCCCCAGGGCGGGAACTTTTCGTTTTACATCCCCCCCTTCCATGCAAAAATACTAGAGTCAAAATGGAATCCCAGTCACAGGTGGCATGGTCACATGTATCACTTGCCCAATTGCCTTTGGACTTGCAGGACAAACAAGCTCCTGCCAAGGTAGAGTGCCTCTGTCTCTGATAGGCCATGCTAAGCTGGAGGAGCCTCCTGCCTGTGGTGGGTGCAGAGCTGCTCCAGCTCCCACCAGTGAATTGAAACTGGTAAGCCACACCATTAAGGGTGAGACTTACTGGTTAACCTTTGACATCCCTACTCTGGACAAGCTCCTCCTCCATGCTCCCATCATGGAGCTGCCCTGCAGTGCAGAACACTGAATCATAGGTCTCACTTCTACCTTCAGAAGGTGACTCATCTGAATACACGTTTGGGGAACCCTGGCAGAACCAACCCATTCTTGTCATACGATGGAGCAGAAATGCCTGTTAATAACGAAGGGCTAATCTTTTCCTAGCTTTCCCTGGCCTCCCTGCTCCGCCTATGATTGTCAGTGCCAGCGAAGAGTCCATCAAGCTCTCTTGGACAACACCTCCTAAAACTGGCAATTCCAAAATCCTGGGGTATGTCGTTGAGAAACGCAAGAAAGGCAGCAGCATCTGGACACCCATCACTGACCTGCCAATAGCAGGTAAGCAGCAGAGAGCTCGGAACAAGCGGAAAGACTGTAGGAAGGCAAGAAGACTAAGCTAGGGGGAGAGGTAGATACACTGGAGGGCAGAGATAGGATCCAGAGTGACCTAGACACATTGGAGGATTGGGCCAAAAGAAATCTGATGAGGTTCAACAAGGACAAGTCCAGAGTCCTGCACTTGGGAGGGGAGAGCAATGTGCTAATGACAGCGGCGGTGGGGGGAGGGCTTCTTTGGCTCCTCCGTGGGTGTTCCTCGGCAGGAAGCGGGTAGACTGGGCAGTTCCCTGGGGTGCAATGAACGGATGGAAGAATTGTCCCGCGATACCCTGCTGCGGAGACCGCCGATCCCAGCCTGAACCTGATCTTTCCTTCCACAGGCAGGCAGTGGGTGGTGGCGGGGCTGCAGGCGGGCCTGCAGTATGAATTCCGCGTGGCTGCTGTCAATGCCGCAGGGGCGGGCGAGGCCAGTGCGCCGTCGGATGCCGTCTTTGCTCGAGATCCCATGAGTAAGTGGCCCATTGTCCTGGATAGGGGGCACTGAGAGAGGAGGAAATGGCCAAGGAGGTGAATCCAGGGGTGTCTGGTACCTAGAAAGCAATGTGGATCTGTAACCCACAGCTAGGCACTTAGACCACTTCCAGCCACAGATAACAACAAGAGACCTCTCCAGCCTGGGCTGGCTTTATAGCTCAGGCTGTCGTGGCTCTTCTGCTAAGCTCCCGAGGTCCCAGGTTTGAATCCCCGCGGTGGTTACGTATATTTTTAAAATGCATCGGTGGGACTATAAAATACATCCTCAGGAATGCACTGCAGGGAATGGGGCGGGATTCCTCAATATGGGGGAGGGGATGTGGGGCAGGCCCCACAGGGGCTGCAAGGGTCAGGGGCGAGATCACCCTGTGTGGCGTGGAACGTGGAGTGGCCTTCCCAGTGTGCTGCGGAGCGGGTGGGAGCAGAGTCCCAGCACAGTTCCGAGGGGGAACAGACTCCCAGAGGCGCCCGGGCCGTGCCTGGCTGGATAGCCAGTGCAGTCCCCAGGGGCATGGATGAGGGCTGGGGGCAGGAATCCGAGGACACCAACGTCTCAATAAACGTTCCTTTTCCAGAGCCTCCCGGGAGAGTGCGGGACCTCAGGGTGACTAGCACTGATGACACCAGCATCACTCTGGCCTGGATGAAGCCCGACTCAGAGGCAGGGGGGTCTGCCACGGGCTACCAGGTGGAGAAGCGATCCTCTGACAGCCTCAAGTGGGCCCAGTGCACGGCTGCCCCCGTAGAAAGAACTAGCTATACGATTAGAGGCCTGCGGGCCAGAGAGACGTACTGCCTCCGTGTGAGGGCCGTCAACGAGGGAGGCCTAGGGGAAGCGGTAGCTCTGGACACTTGCATCCGAACCGGGCCTCCCGCTGGTGAGTCAAACCACACTGCCCCGAAAAGCCGTCCTCGTCCTACGGGTACCAGCCAGGGGCTCTCCCTCCCTCCATTAGCAGCCCTGGCGGCTGGAGACTCAAACTGACCCTTGAGCTATGGCCACGCAACCTGGGGGTCGCTGGGGCACCGGGACCTCTTGTAGCCGAGTATCTCGGCCTGTAGGGGTGGACACAAGTCATTTCGCTCCTGTATTCCTTGTGCAATCAGTCTGAGGGGGTGGTGGGGGCATGTTAGTCTGTAACTTTAAAAACAGCGAGTCGTCCTGGAGCACCTTAGGGTATGTCTGCACTAGCCCCCTAGTTCGAACTAGGGAGGCTAATGTAGGCATTCGAACTTGCAAATGAAGCCTGTGATTTAAATATTCCACGCTTCATTTGCATGTTCCCATCCAGTCACCATTTTTAAATCCCACTAGTCCGAACTAACTGCCCGTGGCTACACGCGGCAGTTAAACGGTAATTCAGACTAAGTCCTTAATTCGAATTAACTGTTACTCCTCGTGGAATGAGGTGTAACAGTTAACTCGAAGTAAGGACTTAGTTCGAGTTAACGTTTGACTGCCGCATGTAGCCGCGGGCAGTTAGTTTGGACTAAGGAGATTTAAAAATGGTACTCAGACGGGAAGATGCAAATCAAGCGTGGGATATTTAAATCCTGGGCTTCATTTGCAACTTCGAATGCCTACGTTAGCCTCCCTAGTTTGAACTAGGGGGCTAGTGTAGACATACCCATAGAGACTAACAGAAATACAGACTCATGTGCGTTCATGGGGCTAATTAATTGGGCTGGAAGTATTCTAAAACTCTGGGTTACTGTTATTCCTCTCCAGCTGATCTGAGGAAGTGGGTTTTCCCCATGAAAGTGCACGAATCGATGTGTTCTTCTGAGTCTCTAAGGCTACGTCTACATTGCGGAGCTATTTTGGGATCCTGGAGATAACCCGAAATAGCTATTCCACGTCTTTTGAGTGCACCAGTTATTTTGAAATATAACGGGCTCGCTATTCCGACATCCCTGTAAACCTCATTCCACGAGGAGTAAGGCACGTTTCAGAATAGCAATTTATTTTGAAATAAGTGCTGTGTAGACAGCGCTAAATTTCAAAATGAGGTATTTCGAAATGGACTCGAAATCAGCTTCACAATGTGCATAGCTCAAATTGCATCGCTTATTTCGAGCTACGGGTGCAGTGTAGACATACTCTGGGAGGCCTCCGTGGTTTCTGGTAACATGCACCACCCTGCAGGTCACTCAAAACGTGGGTTCTGGGGCTGTCACGTGGACTGTTCACTATTCCCTATGCACTATTTACACCGTGGTGTTGGGCACCCAAATCGCATGTTAACTGGCTGACTCCCCAGCCCTCAAAGAGCTGTGCAGATGGCCATGCTAATACTCCGGAAAGCAATGCTCTTGTGAGCAGACACAGGGACGAGTGTTCGTAACCCTTTTCTTTTCCACAAACCTGACTGTGACCAAACCTTCAGTGGTGTGAATGTGAAAAGCAAGTGAAAGAGGTCTCGGATATCATAGAGAAGACTTCCTGGTTTGTATCCCAACAGCTGTGAATACATTTTGGGTAGTATTTCCCTCTCTTAAGTCACCATCCCTACGTACGCACGGAAAGACGATGCTTGGCGCGTGCTCTGGATTTTTTCACTTGGACAATCGGTCAGACAATGGAACCCTGGACGTGCTACTCCAAGCGCACGTGGGTTCCACTCTGTCGGCAGCCTTGTCACTAGATGCGGCTTTTAATGGTGTTCGCTATTTTTTGCCTTCCAGTTAGTCCCAAGTTCTTGAGAGACGACACCATGAAAAACTTCATGATCGTGAAAGTGGGAGGTTGCATCCGAGTGCATGCTCCCTTTGAAGTAAGCACCAAAGCGCGTTTGCTAATGGGCTTCCAAACAGTTGCATGCGGTCAGAAAGAACTAATCGAGGTCCTGGGCTTGATTCTGCTGCAGCATTTTCGGCAGGTCATCTGATTGGTTTGCCCTTTGTATACATTCCCCTCTGGGCAGCTGGAAGAGTCGTGGTTCCAAACACGGGGCAGGAGCCTTGTGACGTTCAGAAGTGCAAAGTATCAGCACCGAGGTCTCAGATTTTGATGTGGCGGCGAATCGCCTGCCCGCCCCTCCCTTGCTTTCCTTGGGTAGGAGGTTGGTAAAGCCCTCTTGGGTGGGTTCATCCGACTCAGCAGCATGAGCAGCGATCGTGCGTGTTGGCTCGTGAAAGCAGCACAGGTTTGATTCCAAGATCCAACCTCTGACTCTTGCGGGTTGGCAGAGGCTGGGTGCGCCCTGGATGAGGAGGTCTGGGTTTGGTGCCTGCTGAAGAGGAGAGGAGCGACCCATTTGCCTGATCTCGAGGTGGCACTGAGGGGTGCTACAGGGAGCCATGCCCTGCTCAGCCAGGCTGAAAGACAGGCACTGCAAGGTGGCATCAGACGGAAAAAGCGCGAGCCTCCTTTCCTCCAAAAAGCAGCAGATGCTTTTAATAGGGCTGCTCTTGCTTATCTGTCAGCCCTAGCCGCTGAGCTGATCAATATTGTGAAGCTGGAATAGCTCCGGGCAGCCCCTCGCTCACTGGCCATGGTTCCAGGGCCAAAGAAGCAAGCTGGCACTAAGGAAACCTTGGAGGCCAAAGCGAGGAAGCGCTGTGTGATGCAAAGGAGAAGCAGATTCGCTTGTAACCGCCTTGCTCTTTCATAGGCCTCCCCCACCCCAGAGGTGATCTGGCTGAAGGACCGGCTCCCTCTCCCCAGCAGGGCCGTGGTGAGCACCAGAGATGGCCTCAGCCAACTCCTGATCCCATCCGCTGGGTTTTCGGACAGCGGGCTCTATACTATCGTGCTTCAAAACGACCAGGGGAAAAAGGAATCTTTCTGCTTCCAAGTCCAAGTGGCAGGTACCAGGCACGGCAGCTTGGCTGGAGGGTTAACGCGGCGGGAGAGGATCCAGCTCGGGACTGAGCAGAGAATGATGGCTTTAGATGGCGTTTAGCCCTGTGGACAAGGAAAGAGCAAGGGAATACAGTCTTCCAAAGATGGCAGGCCAGGGGCCGGGGGTACTGTCTGACATGGATACTGTCACCCATCGCCTTACATTGCTCTCCACCACCCAGCCCCGGGGTAGCTGTATTCTGTAAGAGGCCCTGGCTTGTATCCTCTTACAGAGTCCATACCACAGCCAGGTGTGTCAGTCCATGGCAGGGCTCCGCGAATGTCGCTTAGCAAATGGAACAGAGCACCCGGGCCCAACCATGAGAACGCTACAGCCCTGCCCACTGCTTTGTTAACACTTTGTACAAGCACAGCTGCACCAACTATCGTGAGAAGGGTCAGAGGCGACACTGGGACCGGCCAGGTAATGGTGAGCTTCCCTTCATCTCAGTGGAAGGGTTTGTACATGCAGAGCAAACAGAGCCTCTAACGACCATCTCGTTAAACACAAGGGTGGTGAAGCACCGGAGTAAATTGCCCAGGGAGGTTGTGGAATCTCCATCCCTGGAGATATTTAAGAGCAGGTTGGACAGACACCTGTTGGATGGTCTAGAAGTGCGTGGTCCTGCCGTGGGGACAGAGGACTGGACTCGATGCCTTTTCGAGGCCCCTTCCAGCTCTAGGGTCTGTGTGATACTATGATAAGTTTATCCGGCCACACTGCTCAGAATAGCTGACCGCCATGCAGTTTATGAGGTTGTTACACTATTCCTAAACCTACCACTTTCTCTCCTCCCTCCATACTAATTGTCTTCCTTTTGTAGATATCCCACAGCCCCCCGGCCTTGTTCGTCTGCAAGAGAACGTCCTCAATACGGTGACGGTGATGTGGGACCCGTCGCCGACAGAGAAGTGGGAACAGAACCTGTACTACACGGTCCTGAAAAGTGACTCCAGCAAGGGCTCGTGGCAAGTGGTGCGAGACCTGATCTACACCACCAAGTGTACCGTCACCAACCTTCTCCCCGGCCGGGCGTATTACTTCAGGGTGGTGGCCAAAAATGGCATGGGCACCAGTGACCCATCTGGAACGGCGCAGCCCTGGATTGTCCGGAAGGAAAAGGGTAAAAAGGTGTTTAAGAGACTGTGTGGTCGGGTGGGTCCTACTCCCCGTGCACCCATAGGGAAGGGTGCCCCCTGCTGGGCATGAATGTCTGCAAACCAGTGGAAACGGGGAAGCCAGATTTCTCCATTCCCACCTATCGACCTACTGCCAAGAGAATTCATTTCTAGGAAATACTGCGGGTAGACGAACTCTACAGGGGCCATTCCCTGGAATTCCCAGGCGCAATGACTGGAGTCTCGGTACAGCAGAGCGAGCCAGGGCCCTACACCTATGGCCGCCGCGTGGCAATTCACAGAAGGAGCCACCTGACCCAGGGAGCCAGGCCCCGGCCCTTTGGCAGGCAGAATGACAAATGCAGTGATTCAGTGCCCGCCGTTAACCCCAGGGGCTCCCCTGAGTGTGTGTGTGTGTGTTTCTTACAGAGGAGTTTCAAGTCCGGCTGCCCAAGTACAGGAGGGTGAATCGAAATATGCCCCCGAGATTCCTCGTCCGGCTGAAGCCCCACGTGGTGACCACGGCCGCCGACTGTTACATGAGCTGCGCAGTCGGTGGCTACCCAAAGCCGAAGGTCACCTGGTACAAGGACGGCAGGAATCTCTCCGGAGACCCCGCCTTCTTCAGCACCGATGCCTGCGGTGTCTGCTGCCTGGTGATCCCCGCCGTCACCAAGCGAGACGAAGGCGAGTACGAGGCGGAGGCCAGCAATGCCGTGGGCCGCGTGGCCAGCAAAGCCAGGCTCCTCGTCAAAGGTAAAGACTCCGGCCAAGCCTCGGTGCCTGTGGGCTCGGCGCGAGAGTGGCAGCAAAGTGAGCTCACAGCGGGGCTGCGCAGATACCCGCTGCCGCTGGGGGAGCCCAGAGCCTGTGGAGGAAGGGCCGTAGAAAGGAGCCTATTGAAGGATGGTCGCTATCCAGCTCCCACGGGTGTGTAGACGTTCATGCCCAGCAGGGGGCACCCTTCCCTATGGGTGTATGGGGAGTAAGACCCACCCGACCACGCAGCCGTGGCTACTGCTAAGGCCACCAAGCCACGCTCAACCCGTCAAATAGCCACCTCGGCTCTAAGGGGCAGGGTGGAGGGCACAGTCAGTGCTGGTCCTAGTGCTCCATGCAGTGCTGGGGGCCTGTGATGCCGGAGATGCAGCCGTCAGAGGGGAGAAAACCCAGGTCCTGATTGCTCCTGGTCATTAGAGATCCCGGGTCTGCTGCGCTGGGGTGGGTAGCACCTTGGGACATGCTGGGCGTCAGACGAGATACCTGGTGATCTCTCTGGCCCTCAGCTTCGGTCACCCTCAGGATGGTCCCTGGCTCCTTGTCTTCTATGTGCTACTTGCCGTGGGGCATAAGACGGCATTGCAGTGCCACTTGCGAACGCCTACCACAAGGCATCAGTTACCACTTCAACACAACTTCATCTGCACTCTGTAGTGCTTTCCTGAGCTTACGCATAAATCCACGAGTGACGGGGAATAGAAATTAAGCACAGGCAGAGGAGACGGGCTTTCAGCTGAGACTGGAAAGTAGATGGCGAGTCCCAGATGTCCAGGCTAGATGAGGTCATTTTCACGATCTGATCTGACCTCCTGCAGAACACAGGTCGTCAGGGAGCCACGGATCCCTGGTTCGAGCCCATAACTTCTGGCAGGGCTGGCGCAGATCTTGTAGCTAGTCCATCCAGCCTTGGGCGAAGGACGTAGAGTCACAGGGAAGCTCTGTCAGGTGGCAGAAGCGTCAAGACAGAAGAGTCTTGTGCCAGGCAGAGTGAGATGGGGTGAAAGTCGTATTCAGTCGAAACGGTCCCTGTGTTGATTCCATCCCGTTACCTCTACTTACCCCACCCTACTGCTGCCTCTTCCTCCATGGGTATGTCTCCACTGGGCAGCTTTGATGGAGCGAGTCATCCTGGACGTACATGAGCAGCAAGGCCCTGCCGCCACCCCAGGGCTGGAATTCCACGGCCATTGGCAGGGAGCTAGCTGGATCCTAGTTCAGAGATAGCAGAGAAAAGGCAGGTGAAGACTCAAGCTAGCCCGGGAGCGACCCAGTCGCATCTCCTGCGTGCAGCGTAGACGTACTCAGAGGAGCTTCTGCCTTCTCCTCATCGTGTTTGGCTAAACTATGGCTAAGGGGATCTACCTACTGGGTTAAATGAATGCTTGCGGCAATTCAGCACACCTGAGATTACACCCGGGAAGAACTGGGCCCTTTTCGTAATGTAACCTTTCCTCAGAAATCCCCCTTCTACCCCTCCACGCTTTCAGCTCTTCTGTCTGCTTCCAAACAGGCTGCGTCATTCCAGCACTGAGAGCCTCATTTATCTCCCTCCCTCTCCTTCTCTCCCTTCTAGATCCCTCCATCTGAAGTGCCCCACCTGAGGCCAGCTCTGCACAGCCAGCCAAATGGCAAAGCTTTGAGTTCGAGCTGACCCAGCACCAAAAGCTACCTAGCTAGTTTAATTGCCAGTGGCCGGTCTCAGGTGGTCTCTTGTTTTCTGGTCCGTTGGTTGTAGCGTGAGCGTTGTGCTGCATGTGTGTGGCAGAAAACAGAAGCTTTTAGAGCAGAAAAGTCTGCAGCGGGGATGTATAATCTGTACGGCAGCCCTCCGAAGAGGGGAAAGATGGCCTTCAAAATGATTCGGGGGCTGGAGCACATGACCTACGAGGAGAGGCTGGGGGATTTGGGCTTGTTTAGTCTGCAGAAGAGAAGAGTGAGGGGGGATTTGATAGCAGCCTTCAACTTCCTGAAGGGAGGTTCCAAAGAGGATGGAGAGAGGCTGTTCTCAGTGGCGGCAGAACGAGGAGCAATGGTTTCAAATTGCAGCGGTCTAGGTTGAATATTAGGAAAAATGGTTTCCCTAGGAAGCACCGGGATGGGTTCCCTAGGGAGGGGGTGGAATCTCCATCCCTAGAGGTGTTTAAGTCCCAGCGGGGATGGTTGAATTGGGATGTAGCTGTATCCTGCACCCACAGCATCTCCCCCCCCGCCTTTGACCCAGTGCCGTTAGAAGGCTGAAATGTTGCATGCGACTTCACCCGAGCCATTGAGACTGTGCTGAGCAGTTTGGTCGCCGAATGGAGACGGAGGGCAGCAGTTTCTGATGAAAGCACCGAGATTGAGAGCGCGTCGTTGACACGGTGACAAAGCCGTGTCTGAGTGACAGATTCATAGGACACAGGACAGAGCCAAGACTCGGCCACGGGTGACCCCTGGATCCTCACACAGCCAGGCAAATGCTTGCATGGGGCTGGCTCTATTGAAGTCCCCCCTCCTGTTCGTGCTTTCCTTGATCGTGTTTTGCACTAGCGATGCCCAGAAATGGCAGCGGCGGGTCCAGGAGAATGGACGTAATGAAAGCCCCAGAGAAGGAGTGGAGTTTGCTTTTCAAAATAAAAACAGCAGCTAACTCGTGAACGTCGTGTTCACAAATCCCCCAGCCTCTCCTTGTTCACCCAACCCCTTTTATTTGTGTGTTAAGGGCCACCTCCTCCTTACATCAGACCTGCTGAGCTGCCTGTCACCTCTTGATGGGATAACCGGTCTCCCTACGATCCCACAGGGTTGCCTGTCACGATCGTATCCGAACACCTATGAGGCAGGGGCAGAATGACGGATTGGGATGTCCGATTTATATCTGCTTATGCAAATTAGAGAGAGACAAAATATAAGATACACAAACCCCCATGCTTCAAGGCACAAACCAGCCACCAGCTGATGCGGTCAGGATGAAACATCCTTTATGGGCATGTTACTCCTCCACGTGTATCTTTCTTTGACGTGACTGGGCCTAACCACTGACAGAGACAAACTATTGGATTAGGAGGGCTCCGTAGCTGATCCTTTCTGCCAAACCCAAGGTTCCTGGCTCCTTAATGATGGGTCCTGCATCCTTCTCAGACCTAGACGGAGAACTTAGAGATGGTGGCCGAATTGCCTTTCCGGTGTCTTTGCCATGGGAAGGGCAGTCTGATTGGGTTTGATGTGTGTCTACCATTGCGTGCAGGTGCAGAGCAAAGACCTCAGTGGCGCAGCCACAGACCATATAGGACGGCACCTGTAAAACTACTGATAGCGGAGGTGCCCTGGTGAAACACTTTAGTGGAAAACCTGTGAGAGTCTAGCAGGTCTGAAATCAAACAAAGCAAAGGCCAAAGGAGGTCAGCAGCTGACACACGGCATGAAATTGACTAGGTTGGAAGTGTCTTTTAGCTCCATTAACTGCAAATCAGAAAATGCATTTAAAGCCCAAATATAAAAAACAATGAAGTTTTCCTTCTCTCTTCAGTCCTAATACTTGCAACGGATATCTACTCACTGGGGAGAGAAAGGTGTCTCCTTCACACGATCTGTAATGTTTTTAACTGCACAACATCCGTGTGAGGCAGGGCAGAGACATTAAGTGACGTGACCATGACCATAGAGGAAGTCTGTGTCAAAGCAATGGCATGATCCCAGGTCTCTCGCTAGTGTCCTGTTCCCTGGATCATCCTTGCTCTTTGGGACTGAGGTTCTGAAACTACTCTCTGAAAACCTCCAGTTGTAGGGAATATGTTTGGTCTTGGCTATGTACAGCCGGATTAATGTGCACATTCTATTAAATAATCGGTGGTTTGCCTCTCCCAGTGAGAGCAGCACCCTCAGGGCTTCATTTCTTAAATGAACAGACCACATGGGAGGGACGCTGGGGCCTGACCCTTTCTGGGCATGAACTGGAAACCAAGTCTCAGATCCCAGACAAGCTCCTGAGGCGAGAACGCGGACCTGTGCAGTGCTCTCACTCTGCACGTGCATAGCCCTGTTCGCTGCCTGGGACCTTAGAAAGGCAGGTTCTGTTATTATTATCCCCATTTCACAGAGGGGGAAACTGAGGCGTGACCAGCCCAGAGTCGTACACTGAGTCAGCACCACAGCTAGGATAGAAACCAGGAATCCTAACGCCACCTCCCTCTTAGTCCTTGCCTGGAGCTCTTGGAACTATGGTGCGTGTTTCGATAGTAAACACGCGATTTCCATAAAACTGGGCAAACGATACCACTGATCTTAGTGAAACAGTTTGAGGTAGCAATGGGCACCCCAGGCTAATGAGTGGGCTGCATGAATGGATCCCTTCATCTCAGTGGGCCGCCAGATTGATATCGGCCGTGTGCAGTCACCGTGACCCCAAGAATAAGATTAAATACATGAATGCAGGTTGAACCTCTCTGGTTCGGCCACGTCCATGGTCCGGCATGAGTTTAGTTAGCCAGCTGTCCAATTATCATGGTGAGGCCAAGTTTCCCGCGGTCCCATAAAGTTTGTTACAGCCACCAGTCCTGGCTCCCCGTGCTCTGTGCTGTTATTTAGCTCTAATTTACCCTGCATGTCTTCTCAGAGCCCAGTAAGCAGTGGCAGAGTGAGCAATGGAACTGCCATCGACTTCTACCCTCTGGAGTGGGGTGCAGAGATGAGCCCCTGTGGCTGTCGGTGCAGGACTGGGCGTGAGGCTTGCACAGCGCTGGAAATACGCTGCCACACAAGGAGGCCATGAAACCTCACCTGCCTGGGTGCTTTTGCAGCTCGCCCTCTGACGCCAGTCCCCCCCGGATCCCGCTGTCCCCACGCTGGCTCTGTTGAACCAGAAACTCCTTTTCCCACCCCAGGCCCTCAATCTCCCCATAGAGTGAGCCCTGGTGAGCGTAGGAGACTCTGGGAGCAGCTCAGCCCACACTGGGGTCCCTGATCCTGCTCCCGCCAACCTGCCTGGGTGCTTTTGCAGCTCGCCCTCTGACGCCAGTCCCCCCCGGATCCCGCTGTCCCCACGCTGGCTCTGTTGAACCAGAAACTCCTTTTCCCACCCCAGGCCCTCAATCTCCCCATAGAGTGAGCCCTGGTGAGCGTAGGAGACTCTGGGAGCAGCTCAGCCCACACTGGGGTCCCTGATCCTGCTCCCGCCACTGTCGGGCGACGGGTGCACCTCAGCGTGGGAACGGCAGGCAGCAGGAGGAAGCCTAGTGGGTCTCTGGCCCACCGGGGGGTGACAGGGTCCAAGGCGGGACTGGCGACGGGAATCCGGGCGTGTCTCCACGTGGAGGCTTTGGAGACCAGAGGGCAGCCTGGCCCGGGGTAGGTCAGTGGGGTCACACAGCGAGTCCCCGTCCTTAGGACTGTTTCCTTTGGGAAGGAGAAGCGGTGATGGAGGAACATACATGTTGATTGAGCTGGTGGGTCCCTCTGGCTCCGAGCTACCTTCATACAAGCAGAGAGGGCTCCCGGGGAATCCCAGAAGCAGCTCGCATGAAAATGGCTGACAGGAAGCTTTCGCGGAGCTCTGCAGCCAGCCTGTGGACCCCACTGCAGCTGGGCAGGCCGGCGTGAACGCGCTTCCCCCCAGGGTTAGGCACTGACTCCCACAAGGCAGCAGGTGCCATGAAGCCCCTGGGATCATAGAACACTAGGACTGGAAGGGACCTCGAGGGGTCATTGAGTCCAGTCCCCTGCCCTCGTGGCAGGACCCAATACTGTCTAGACCATCCCTGATAGACATTTATCCAACCTGCTCTTAAATATCTCCAGAGATGGGGATTCCACAACCTCCCTGGGCAATTTATTCCAGTGTTTGACCACCCTGACAGTTAGGAACTTTTTCCTAATGTCCAACATAAACCTCCCTTGCTGCAGTTTAAGCCCATTGCTTCTTGTTCTATCCTCAGAGCTGATAGACATTTATCTAACCTGCTCTTAAATATCTCCAGAGATGGGGATTCCACAACCTCCCTGGGCAATTTATTCCAGTGTTTGACCACCCTGACAGTTAGGAACTTTTTCCTAATGTCCAACCTAAACCTCCCTTGCTGCAGTTTAAGCCCATTGCTTCTCGTTCTATCCCCAGAGGCCAAGATGAGCAAGTTGTCTCCCTCCTCATGACACCCTTTTAGATACCTGAAAGCTGCTGTCACGTCCCCCCTCAGGGATGAAAATGCTCCAGGCCGTGAGCCAATGGGCGGCTGTGGTGAGGGAGGCAGGGGCCGCGTATCTGGGTGAGGCGGGGTGGAATCCCAGACCCGGGATGTTCCATGGACTGGACCCTAATGTGCAGCTAAATGTTGTTGCCTGGCAGTATCCACAGGGGGCGCTGTGGGACTGTGAGCACCCAACACTCTTCGAAACGCTTCGGGGGGTAACCGGGTTCGTCTGTACAGGATAGACGTAAAAGACAACAACCGGTTTGGTAGCACTTCATAGACTCACCAGACATGGAGACGGGCACAGATGACCGGTCATCTGAAGACGTGCCCACGAAAGCTCAAGATAAAGCTCTTACAAGAGCCAAGCTGCCTCCATCCCTCGGAACGAAGGGGGGGGGGAAGGCCTGGATGAATCGAGTCCTTAGTAGGGACGTTACATATCGGTTAATCGATAGGCGAGTAATCTCGTGAATTCTTATTGGTTAGTCGACTATTCTATAGTCCCCCGGGGCGCTCCGGCTCCACTCCTGGGGAGCCCCTGCCACTCCGCGCAGCTGTGTCTGTATCAGAGGCTGTACCCCGCGGTCTGGGATGGGGTGAACACATTGCAAAGTCCTGTGCACGGCAGAGGGGGCTCCCGTTTTCCCTGGAGATGGCAGCTGCGCCAATCGCAGGCTTTGTCCACACGGCCAGCATCACGGCCCTGCGAACACAAACGTGGCACCTCGATGGCTCTGGCCCCTCCTGCACTGAATCCTGCTGCGTTCGGGGAGTGAGTTTTCACGGTCCTGAGCGAGAACGAATCAGCTCCATAACTGCCTGTGTAGTCTACACTGGCTCATGTCAGCCCCCCGGAGAGTCCCTGCGAACCTGGGGCGGTGAAGAACCATGTGGCAGAGATCTGATGGGAGAAGCACTATAAGGGGCCCGGTGGGACAGCCCTGTGCAGAGACCCGGTATCAAAGCACTGGATCTAGCGACTGTTTGGCACCCCAAAGGCGAGGAACATGCTGTCACTGGAGAGGAACGCCGCCTTTTCCAGGAAAAGCAATCTGGGCCGCGACAATTAGAGGCTCCTAATTAGCACCAAGTGATAGGTGGAGCATTAACGCTGACTGGCGCTCCACACCCCCAGGGGACAGGTTCTGGAGGGGACAGGATCCCAAGCCAGGGAGTGGGCGAGAGCTCAGAGGAGCCCAAATCAATTCAACTCTGGAACTGGCAGGTCTGGAGTCACAAGCTCTGCCTGGGTTTGAAGGGAGCCAGCCCAGAGCCTCCGCTCCCTCCCCACGGCTCGAGTGCAACGGGGCATCCCCCAAACTCCATCCCTGGCTGATGTCTGGGAGAGGAACATTCGGCCCCATCTCCACGAGCCGGTCCAGCTCTCCTCGGGAGGCAGAGGCCTGGGCTCTGGGGAGACCCAGTTCTGCCCCCCGTGACATGCCCACCCCTGAAAAGCAAACACGCTTGCATGGCACTTCCTAGAGGCTCTGTGTGTGGTGTCAGTACCTTGCTGGTTGCTGTGCTTGGCTGTGGGCGCCCCCTACTGGACTCTGTCTGTAAGCACTGCCCAGCAGGGGGCGGGGGGGGCGCCTTGAGGGCCCCCATGACAGTGACCAAACTGGTTCTACCGGTTAAGGGAAGGGAGGGAACAAAGGAAGTGAGTGTTGGGGGAAGGGTCAGTTTCTGGCTGGAATCATGAAGGAGTCTAAGAGCTGAGGCACCCCATCTCAAGGCACCCTGGTCCAGGCTCCTGTAGCCACGTCACGTCTAGGCTGGGCTGTATCCCGGAGAAGCAATAACCCCTCTCTGTTCGACTGGCTGGCAGAGTCTGCTCTTGCTGCTATGGGGCTGCATGATCAGGGGAACCCCCAACTTGCCATCGCAGGCTCTTCCCTGCCTCGGAGAGCCCCTAACCCCTGCCAGGTCTCGGGAAGCCCCCTAAGGACTAGGGATGTCGTAGTGGAGTCAATTAACCGATAAGCAAAAGCCTCTAGGTTAATGCTATGGACCACACGCATTCCTCCATCCACCTGCCAGTAAACTTTTTCCTTTCCTGGTGGATCAGTGGGAATGTAAAGGTACAGGACTGCGAGTCTCAGCCACATTGTCTTCCAGGGCGTGGCACAGCTGGGATGGTGTAAATAACAGGGTTCCTTGCTCTGGCTCTGCAGCTGTGACCTGTCTCTCCTGGGGATGGAGGAGGCTCTAGAGAAAAGGCACGTGCTGTGGGTCAGTGGGAAGACCGGCTTGAGGAGGGGAAGGGAATTAACCTTTCACTTCCTTTCTCGCTCCCCACCAGGTCCCTCCGGAGAAGGACAGATCCCTGGGAACCTGCGGACGGTTGTGGGTGGCCGCGTGGGCACCAGGTGAGCTTCCGCACCGGGCCCCGACCCAGCCTGCGATCCCACTGGGGCTGAGCGCTTGCAGCTCCGTGGGCATCTCGGTGAGAGCTGGGGATGTCACAGACTCTGGTTTCCAACCGGAGCCTGCCCGGTGGGTGGGTCTCGTGGCTGCTGTGTGCCTAGCGGGAGAGCTGTGACGCAGCCTTGCAGTGAGCAGGGGGTGCCGGGCTTCCTGGGCTGGTGGTATCTGCTTTGCCGGGACACAGCTGCGGTTTGCTTTAAAGTCATTCCAAGGAGCCTTTGCAGATGGGATCTCCATTAAGAGCCCCTTTCTTGGGAGCTGTGCAGCCCGTGTACCCGGCCTTGTTGCAGGGCCTGGAATGAGCACCGGATACCTCAGTCCTCTCCGTTCAAACAGGGGGAGCTGGGCGCCCGTGTCTGGGAAGCCGGCCTGCAGACGTCTGTCTTTGGGGATTTTGCTGGTTTATTTTCAGTAGCAGCAGGTGGCATGTTCTCGTCCTGTCCCTGCTGCCCACTTAGGGTTCTGCCCAGTGTTGTGCGGCTTGGAAGCATTAAACGTATGTAGGTTTGGTGCTAATCTCTGGAGGCAGCCAGAGACCGGAGACGTAGTGTGATGTAATGGGGGTACAGGCCACTCGCTGGTCGCTAGGCTTGGGCTGTGGGTGACCCCTACTGGCCTCTGTAAGCACTGCCCAGCGGGGGGTCACCCTGAGGGCCCTCATGTCACATAGACCATGGCCCAACCGGTTCTCACTGGAGAGGGAAGGAGTTTGAAAAAAGGACGGGAGTGGCTTGGGGAAGAGTCAGTCTTGGCTGGGAAAACATGGAGAGAAGAGACTAAGCTGAGTACTGGGGGGTCGGGGGGCTGTGGACCCCTCCCCAAGGGGTCTGAGGCTGCCTGGCCCCTCACTTCGATGCTCACATAGAACCCGGGCTGTGCAGTCCCTCGCAGAAGCAATAGACCCCCCCCATTCGACTGGCTGGCGGAATCTCATCTTTCTGTAGACGGGGTGCACGGTGGGGGGCGGTCCCCGACGCGCCACCACATGTAGCACTGCCTTTCATGTGCCTGTACGTGATGCCGGTTGGAACGTCCCGGCTGAGACGCTTTCTCTTGGCGCAGTGCGGGCTTGCCTGCATGGCAGAGGGCATCGCCGGTCAGGGCTGCTCCTACCTCACAGACATCTGGCTTTTCCCTCTCGGGGCCCGACCTGGGAAGGGCTGGCAGGCGCACTAGGCTTTCGAGTGGTGTCCAAGGTGGCCCAAGACGCCTGGCCGCTGCCATTTCCGTGACGCGCGGGTGTGTTCAGCCTGCGCCCGGTGAATTCTGCCAGGGAGAGAGACTCTCTCAAAACGAGGCTTGTTCAGCCGCCGACCTACGCACAGACACACGGGGCCCCCTGTTCTCCCCATGCGCCCCGGCTAGGTGCATGGAGCTCTCCACAGAGCAGGCTCCAGGCTGGGAGAGGGGACTGCAGAGCGGGTTATGGCTCCACCTTGCAAAGCCCCATTCTGTGGGTTTATGCCCTGGGGTTGTGGTTACAGGCAGACTCGCAGCTGGGGCTGCATGGGTAACCCATGGAGACGTGGCCCTCCGGCAGGGGCCGCTTGTGGCTG